ATTTACTATGTATTTAATTCATGTTAATCTATATTAAGAAACTTATTAAGTATTTAAAAAATTATCTAAGTTTATAATTAATATATCAAGTATAAACAACAATATTATAATATTATACAGGCATGCAATCAAAATAGAATCATTGAGACAGTGCATTACTGAGCTTGAGGTTGAGAAAGCCGAACTTGAGGCCAAGAATTCTGAAATCCCTGAACTTAGAAAGAAGCTTGCCGAATTTGAAGCCAGGGTTGTCGAGATTCACGAACTTAGAAAAAAGGTTGCCGATGTCAAGGCTAGAAATGCGGAACTTATAAAGCAGATGATGGAAGAGAATAACAGACGTGACGCCAGAATTGAGGTTCTAGAGAAAAATAAGACAGATACTACTAATAGAGTTCCTACATTGGAACATAAGCATTCGCAAAATGATATTACTAATAACAACTCTTCTAATTTCAATTCCGGTGCAGACCATCATGAAAAATCATCACAGAGGTGGATAAATTCTTGAATGAGGCACATAAGAAAAGCATTGGTGATAAAATAAAGCAACGCAATAAGGAGAAGCTTCAACACGATTTGACTGCTCAGGACCCGGCTATCAGAGTCATGTGATTTCTGAAAATTCGGAAAGTCATGAGGAAACTGTAACAAAAAATTTGTTACGATCAGACCATGTACACACAAATACCTCTGAAGTATCAGAGTTGAAGCATGATGACGAAATTGATGTGGTTGATACAAGTCATGATCCAGAATCAATGCGAAGTAACTTTCCAAAGTGACTCCACGTCCTCGGATGATAAAACTAATAAATCTTGTATTTAGGAGTTACGGCATATAAAGTTACTAGTTACGGCACATAAAATAGTTATGGCATAATAAAACTGCATTTATATATCGCGCAATATAGCTAGGGTTGGAGGCATGCCCTTTAACCAAAAGGTATGCCCTATTATGTGATCTATAGCTAACATATGATTGGCTAACTTTTAGTGATTGGCCAATCAGAATACAAATATCTTCTCATAGTATAGCATGCCCTGGGGTATAGAGAGACATGCCCCAAAAATTTGGCATGCCTCCAACTCTAAATACGGCACACACAAATGTTAGGAAATACCGTAACTTATAACAAGTTATAACAAGTTATAACTTAGTTACTATTTGGCAAGTTCCGATGCCTTGAGTTTCTATTGCAGATATAAAATTAGTAGTTAAATAAGAATATCCTATTCAGAGTCAACATGATTTGAACAAGTTTTCATAATTGAAGAATCACAAACTTTGCCATCAATATATAAATCACCAAGTCGAGGCGAAGTCAAAAAAAATCTGTGGTTTGCTAAAAGGCAATCTTTTTTATATATTTTAGAGTTTGAACCCTAAAACATACCGATAGGATGTATAATTCTCTGCTTATGTTTTTGTATTAGAATTCAGAATATCGACGATATTTTGATTTTCCTTCTAGCATTCGTAGTAAGTACTGTATATGTAAAAATATGTGATATATTAAATGGAGCTTTAACAGTGATTATTTCAAATCAAGTACGTACAGTATGTAGTGTATGATTGATTTTTTTTATGATTGAAAATTTAGAATTTAAAAAGAGCTGCTCATAAATGTTAAATTTTGATTGCTTGTGCTCAAGTATCTTTTATAGATGGAGCTGGATTTCCTTTCGCTTACCTATTTTTGGGGAGAATAGCGGTCAATGCAGTGATAAATACATATCTACCATGGTTCAAATATTTCCTCTTTAAAAATAGAGACGAATCGACAAGTAAAATAATTAAATATGCACGAAGCATAGAGGAGATGCAGAATAATCAAAAAAGATTCAATAATGCTCTATCTGTAATTTTCTCAAATATGTCTGATTGGGCGAAAGAATGAACTCAATCTCATCCTCATCAGAACTTTCCACAGATAAATATTACTATAAAACCGAATGGTTTTAGATGAGTTGAGAAAGAGTAACATAAGAATGAGTAAAAGACTACTCTGAAATCCAGCTGCGCAATTATCACATAAAAAGAAGAGTATCATGACACGATTAGCAAGTGACAAAAATGACAAATAACACCTTAGTATCAAACCGATGCTACCTTTGGAATGAATGGTACTATGAACTAAAATGTGTTGTGAGCTCAGTCTGCATGTGAGAATAAATTAATATTCAAGATGGCAATATTCAAAAATGACAATATTAATAGAATTAATAGAAGCACTTAATGAAAATAATATTAAGTGATAATTAGTATTGTAATGAATTAAGGTGTCAAGCAGATGGTCTGGTATTATATTCAAGGACGGTTTAGAAATAGAAAATTCGGCACTTAGAGAAATTTTAGTTTAGGATTTATGAAAGTATGGTCGAATACCATTTGGATAGAATAATCTTAAAAAAAAACTAGGGAGAGAAAAATGTCCACTAGTCAATTGGACCATCTTGCGTTACTTAAGTTATATGAAGCAACCCATTATATACTATTATAATTTAATATTAATAAGTAATTGATTTTAATACTTATTATATATAAATAATTAATATAAAATAAGTAATTAAATTTAATATTTACAGTATTATATAATATGATTATTTAATATCAAATAAGTAATTAATTTTATCATTTCAAGGTTACAAATTTTATTAATGAACAAATAACAAAGAAGCCTTACATGTATAGATATATTAGAACATTTTTTGAGATTACTACAAAAAACTTGCAAAAGTCAATTGAATTCTTTTTAGTTCCAGTTTATACATTTAAAGAAAATTAGTTTTCCTAAATTACTTTTATTTAACAATAAGAATTGTCGCGGATGATGCTGAAATCGGATGATGCTGAAATTCACGTGATCACATGATGATCTCCGCTATTATATAGT